TGACTGGGTCCTGGCAGGCTTGCACCTGGCACGGGCACCGTAGCCAGACCGTGCCCCTTTAAGGGGTCCGGGGCCAGGAGGGGGGCAGAAGAGTTTCCCTGGTGGTGCCCAGAGTGGCCATCAGGGAAAGCTGGGGAGGGCTAGCCTCCCACTAGTTCGAATTAAGTGGCTACACAGCCCTTAATTCAAACTAGTTAATTCGAACTAGGCGTTAGTCCTCGTGGAATGAGGTTTACCTAGTTCGAATTAAGCGCTCGCTAGTTCGAATTAAGTTCGAACTAGCGGTTTGCGTGTGTAGCGCCTATCAGAGTTAATTCGAACTAACTTTAGTTCGAATTAACTTTGTAGTGCAGACATACCCTTAGCTATTTCCCTGTCCCATTCCTTCCTTATTGCCTTTAATAATAATAAAAAAAAATGAAAATACCGTTCAAGTGGTTTTCAGTACTATACTGCCTGAAAGAATGCATGAGTATCCAAAAATCAGTAGATAGCTAGATTTTACCATTCTTATTCATGTGACAGATTAATAGAATTTCAGACCACAAACAACCATTGTGATCATCCATTCCTGCATAACTCAGGGTATGTCTACAATACAGAGTTAGTTCGAACTAACTTAGTTTGAATTAGTTAATTCGAACTAAGCTAATTCGAACTAACGCGTCTAGAACTAAAAACTAGTTCGAATTTGTGATCATCCATTCCTGCATAACTCAGGGTATGTCTACAATACAGAGTTAGTTCGAACTAACGGAGGTTAGTTCGAACTAACTTTGATAGGCGCTACACTAGCGCTCCGCTAGTTCGAACTTAATTCGAACTAGCGGAGCGCTTAGTTCGAACTAGGTAAACCTCATTCCACGAGGATTAAGCCTACTTCGAACTAGCTAGTTCGAATTAAGGGCTGTGTAGACCCTTAATTCGAACTAGTGGGAGGCTAGCCCTCCCCAGGTTTCCCTGGTGGCCACTCTGGCCAACACCAGGGAAAGCCCAGCTGGGCCACCCAGGAGCAGGTGTGCATTAAAATCAAGGGGGTCCACTGAGACCCCCGACCCTGAGCCCTGAGCTTACAATGGCCGTACTGGGTCAGACCAAAGGTCCATCTAGCC